CTGGAATAGCCGAAGTGAATATTTCACGGAATGGGATTTACTAGAAAAAAACAGTAATAGATATTAACAAACTTGAGGAAGAGAGAAAAAGGAGCATAAAGAGAAATAAACACAAACTCGGGGCCTGTAGGAAAATCAAAATGTCCTAACAAAGTAAAAAACAAAAACAAAACAAAACCCAACATACATTAAAAAAAAAAACAAAAAAACAACAATTCCCAAGGGAAAAGACAACGAATAGATGCCAATCACAAGAAGAGGCAGATGTTAGAATTACCAGACTCTAAGGCGGTTTTTGCAAGAACCCCTCACGAAGTGAGGAGAACACACTGGAACAGAGTGAAAACAGTTCTGAGCAGAGAAATAGGAAGCATTAGAAAGACCCAACTTCAGAACTAAAAAAAATACAACATACGAAATAAACTATTAACTATATGTAGAATATAGAACTTAGGGCTATGTATTAAAATCCCTAGAGTGGTCACTAAAAAAATGAATACAAAGAAATATATTTTAAAAGCTAATAAATAAAATGGAATACTAAACAATATTCAAATAATCCAAAAGGCGGCAAGAAAATGGGAACAAAGTAACAAAAACCAGAGGGACGACAGCAAAGAGTAGAACTGCTGACCCAAACCCAATTATCTCAGTAAAGAAATCCACTTTGAAGACAACGCTGTAGATGGGTTAAATATTAAAAAACAAAAAGAAATTTTTCCCTAAAGAGACCAGCAGGCCCAGGTGGTTTACCTGGTAAATTGTACCAGACTTTCAAGAACAGGTATTGCTATTAGAAAAAAAAAAAAAAAGGCTCTCAGCAAGTCCTTCCCTGAGGCCCGTGTGACCCATGCGCAAACCCAGCAAACGAAGTGAGAGGGGTAGTCAGCCCCCGACTCACTCCTGAATGTGGGTACAAAGCCCCCAGCAGACACCAGCAAGTGAAACTGAATGGAGTGACTTCAAGACTACACCACAATCAAACTGACCCAGACACACAGAAAAGGTTTAAATGCAGAACATCCAGAAATGTAACTCACTTTGACAGATGACAGAGAAAGGCGTCCTGGATGCAGGCAGGGGGAGCGGGCAGGGCAGGTGCTCAGAGGGCCGCGTCCCAGCGGAGCCAGAAGGCCCGGCGCTCTGTGCTCTCAGGAGGGCCCAGCAAGGCCGACCCCCACACCCAAGGCCCACAGCACAACTCGGTAGGCCCAGGGGCCCTGCTGAGACACACGTGTGCTGTGCCCCGTCCCCTCACTGGTTTCGATGGTCGCGCTCTTGCCACTCACACCCTGGCAGCCCGCTGCAGGAGGAGAGAGGAACAAGTTCAAGCAGCGGGCCACCGGGCTCTGCAGCTCTGGGGTCCCCGATGGGTGGCCACCTGGTGGGCCGCCTGCCCAGTCTCTACCTCTACCATCCACAAATGGCCACAGAACCGGGAGCTCACGTGGACCAGGCCCGGGGGACCATTTGGCTCATCCACCCTAACCACCGGCACGGCAGGCAGTCGGGGCCGACGGGGCAGGGCATCCCGAAAAGCAGCCCGGACAGACGAAGGGTTGGGGAGAGAGTCTCCAGAGACAGACAGAGAGATCTGCCCTTTCCTGAGGGTGTTCAAAGACACACCCCAGGGGCCTGGGGCACAGGCACGGCCCCTCCGCTCCCCGGCTGACCGTGGGCCCAGCCCTGGGGGGCCGCCCTGCAGCCTCAGCGCAGAGCCCACGTGCTGTGTGTTCAGAGCCCTGGGGCCCCACATGTCTCTGCGGGCGGGAGAGGAGCAGACACTGACTTCACGCCTGCCACCCCCAATGGCTGGGCTGGGGCCGGCCCTCCCCTGCAGCCATCACCTGTCACCTATCCGGAGCCCCCTCCTCAGCTCCAGTTCAGCAGGTTCGGGACACTCTTCCACCCTTGTCTCTGCAGCCCAGGCCCATGAAAGCTTGCCTGGGCCCCCAGAATCCTGCCCACCCTCTGCCCACACTCCCTGGAAGGGACGTCCGCCTGTCCCTTCCAGGACCCACTAGCCCAGCAGAATCCCAGGCAGTGCCAGGGATTGGCAGCAGTGAGCAGTGGAAAGCCAAGTCCCACCCCGCCCTGCAGGGCCAGACCTCAGGGACCCGCAGCCTCCTGGGACCACAGTGCCTGGAAAACAGGGTGGAGGTGGCGATCAGGAGGCTAGGCCCGGACCAGGCCCAGAGCCACCAGGGCTTCTTGTCCTGAGTGGTGATGTGTGTGTAATGTTTATATGTGTGTATGAGCTCCGTGCACATGTGTGCATGAGTGCACAGGTCTTCAGGAAGGCGGGGCCATGGTGGGTGAGGTGGCGCCTGGAGGTCTGGTGGGTGGGACCTCGCTGCCTCTTCGTCCAAGCTTAGCTGCTCCCGCGGGTGGGAACGGGTCCAAGAGGGAGAAACCCGTGAGAACCCCCAGCCTGCTCTGCCCTGAAGCTGCAACTGTTTCATGTGGTTCCAACTCATTTAGTGTATTATCCCGGATTTCAAAGAGCCATTAGCAAGACAATCCCTCAGTCCCTGGTTTCCACCTGAACCGGGGCCAACGTCAGGTCCTCTGCCAGACAGGCAAACCCGCACGCGCATGTACACGCACACGTGTGCGTGCACACACAACTTGAAAGGAACTTTGTCACCACCACTTCCCTGGAGCAAACAGGAGTCAGGACTGTGGTGGATACGTGAGGTCAGCGCCGCCAACAGTCACACAGACAGCTGGCCCAGGGGACCGGAGGGGCAGGCTCCGAGCACCCGCTGCCTGCACTCTGCAGGATTCGCGCTCTGGTCTTGCTTCCGCAAGGCCCACCCCCTGCCCCTGCACCAGGCTTTGCCCGCAGTAGGTGGGGCTGGCGAGCCTCACAGTGGCTGGGGACTGGTTGAAGAGTTATGGTGTCACTGAGGGTCAGCAGCAGAAACTGAGGTGGAGCTGGAAGCTGCCAGACAAGTCTCTGGGTCAAGATGAACCTGGGCCCCAGCTGCACAGGATGGGCTTTGGGCAGCCAAGCAGACACCCACCTGACGATGCGTCAGTTCATAGCAAGCACTTGAAGGCGGAAGCCCATGTCCCTCACCCCCAAGACCAGAGCCTTGGTTCTTGCACACGAGACCATCGGAGGACTTCTGGATCCACAGCACAGCCCCTTGACCAGACATCTGAGCTACTCAACAACAGTGAGCAACGCTCCAGCCAGGCAGGTCCAGGCACCGCGCACAGCTGAACGGCTCCTAGCCGCACGCTGCTGCGGGCGCCTCTGCAGAGCCATGCTCAGCTCTCTGGGGCAGAACACCTGTGAGCACCTGCAGGCATCTGCACCCCAGAACAGCCTGGGCAGGTGCCAAGTCGGGTAGAAGCCTCGGCAAATGTTCAAGCCACCCCTCAAACCGAGGTTCCTGAAGTTCAGGGTGAAGGGTATGGGTGGCCAAGGCAGATGACCTTGAGGAGCAGGTGGCACGCTTCAGGACATGCAGTACGGAGGAGCAGCCTCTCTGTGACTGGGCTGAAGCCAGTGTCTGCCAGAGCTGGGTCTCAGTTGAGTGGGGAGGCAGTGGGCCTGGGGTAGTTCGCACATAGGACCCAGGGCCTGATGCCCTAGGGACCAGGGTGGCAGGGGATCTTGATGATGCTGCTGGACCGGAGCTCTGTGTTGGTGGTGGGATCGGCCTCTAAGAATGCTGTTCCCAGTCCTGGAAGCAGGGGAGCATGACCTGAACGTACCTGCAGTGCTGTAATACTAGGCCCCCAGCCACAGAGCTCAGCCCAGGACCACTGTTCCCTGTGCTGAACGGAGTGTGTGGGGCAGGGCTCCTGTGGGTGCCTCCCCTGCAATCAGACCTCCTGGGACTGGCCCAAGGGGCTAGACGTCTGGCCTCAGTGCCCGGCAGGATCAGCCAGTGTCTCTTCTGCTGGCCCCGGGGAGCATGGACTTCGGCAGAGCTCCCGGCACGTGTGAAGCAAGTGCCTCACTGGGCTAATCCGTGGTGCAGCCGTGGTGGCCGTGCTGTCCCCTGCTCTCCCTCTGGGAGTCTGGAATTCGGGGACTCACTGGCCAAGGCACGACATGTCCAGCCCCGGTAAGAACCCTGGGCTCGGGCCTCTGACAAGCTCCCTGGCAGCCATCGCATAAGTGCTGTCACGCTCCGTGCCGGGCAGTTAAGCGCGCCCTGCATGATCCACCGGGACGGGCTCTGAACGCTGGCCGCGCCTGGTGTCCCCGGCTCCTCCCCACGTGGCTTTCCCCTGGGCTGACTGTGCACTGAATCCTTTCACTGTCCTGAATGACAGCTGAGGCCAGCGAACCGCCAGACCTTGGGTGGTTGGTGCTTTGGGGCGCCCCAACTCAAAATTATATCAGCGATCTCAGATATTAAATGTATGAGTGAAAGCCCCTCAAGAGAAGGCAACACAGAGCCCGGGGCGGGAAAGGAGGGCCAGCCGTAGTTCTAGGGAAGCCTGGGGACAACAAAGAAAAGCCAGCTGACAGTCATCAGACAGGGCTGCCGGTCAGTGGAACTGGCACCTGTGCCTCTTCACTTCTTTACACACTAAGAAAGCATCAGGGGCATGTCGGACAGCAACTGCGACTTCAAGTCCAGGTAAGAACCCAAGCGTGATCTTAGCTTCGTGCTGCTTCCTACTCAGAATGACTGCTCTTCGCTGCTCACGTCCACATAAGAGTCTGGTAAACACGGACACCTCCTCTGCCCAAGTTCACAGCCCTGAATGCTGCCACAGAGCCCGGCTCGGAAACCTGAGAATTCCAGGAGCAAAGATACGGAAAGTGGAGAGGAGCTAAGAGAGTGGCACTCGCCAACACTACAAGTGCCTTCAGAATAGAGGGATCTCGGAGCGGCCCCGGGCACGGGGCCCTGGTGCCTGGGTGCACTGCTCGTGGGAGGGTGGCTCCACTGAGGGCCTCTGGCGTATTCCACAGGGGCCTCCTGATGATTATGTAACAACACGACAAAGAAGAACACCATGCAGAATGGGGAAAAATATATAACTTTATTTTTAACCAGGGGGTTCTTTCTTTTCCATTTAATAAATACAAATTAATAAAAATACTTTGTTTTGCAAAGAGGCTGCCTCTCCTCTTCCTCCAGATTTCACAGAAGTGCCCATGGCCGCCTGCTGATGTGGCTGCAACACCCACGCTCCCGCCGTGTCCACAGACCACATCCCCACACGCTCTTCTCTCTGTGGAGAGGGCTCCGCTTCCCACAAATGGGCCTGCAAATACTGTTTAGGCACAGTACCTCTCCTTTCCTCCCCTTCCAAACACAAGTCCTGTACCGAATTCCAAATCTTAAAGATGGCCTTCCGAGGAGAGCCCGGTTTCCACAGAGGCCCGAGGCAGAGCCCCTTTAGCCAGCACCTGCTTACCCAAGAGATTACGTGAGGTGGCAGTACAGCAGGCGCCACGCCTGTCTGCCAGACACATCATGAAAGGGAAGGAAAGGACAAAGTACAGTAAAGTCTATTCTATGTCTTGGAGGCCGTCCCTTATTTCAAAAATAGAAACTCCTATTTAAATGCAACCTGTCTGAAACAGGCTGAGCTTGTGATTCTGCGTGCAACAGGTCTGTTATTGCTCATAGAGGACCACGGCATCACGCTGCTGCGCCCCCCACGTTGGACAAGGCTGACTGCATCAAGAGCACAAACCACAAGCAAGTGGTTTGTGCCCACAGGGCCCAGGGCCCCACGTGCCACAATTCCACGAGCGCTGGCCGGGTTCAGAGGTAAGGCACGCCTCTGCTCTGCGCTAATGATAGGTCCCTCCGAACTGCAAGCTGCAAAGAACAGTTTTGTCCTAGTAGTTAAAGTTCCTGCTGCAGCCACAATGTACAAAAGCCTAGAGCTCCCGGTTCTGAGAATGGAAAAGACAAACTCTTGTAGATCCAGGAGAAACTGTGACTAAAACTTTCAGTCTCGTATTTTTCCTGCAAGGAGACCTGACTGTATTCTTTGATAAATGTGCCCAGGAAAGATCATCGGTCTGTGTGGTTAGCAGTGAGCTTCTCCATGTGCCCCACTGTTCATGAGTCCACATTTTTAAAAGTATTTATTTCCTGGAATATTTCTAAGTGTGATAGGTTGTAATACAGAACAAATGAAAAAGATGTAGCCAGATTATAAGAAAAACACCCGTTGGTAAAACAGAACATACTGAAACAGCTGCGCACACGGGGAGTCCAAGGGACCCACCGAGGCCCGGCCCGCACCTTTGTCTTGGCTCCAGGCCCCGATTCTTCAGAAGGAGCAGTGCTGGTTCCAGTCGCGGGAAGGCCAGCACACACCCCCCTCAGCACTCGGGAGGGAAGGGGAGTCATTACCTGTTAGGTTCGCAGGCGTTTCAGCTGGGAGAGGTAGTGGTGACGGCTTTGACAATCTACCTGAACCACCTTGCCGGGAATACTCTAAAGCTGCATTCAATTGTCATTATTCTACATAAACTGTAATTTCAAAGAGAAGCCTGCTTGGGGTGGGAGAGGTGGCAAAGAAGACCAGAGCTGTGGTTCTGCAAGCTTGCTTTTTTTGGTGCCAGCACAGAGTGTCACTGTCACTAAGTGTCCTGGAGGAGAAACACTGGAGACTGCGTGGCGGTGTATGTGCACACACAGGGGCAAGGCCTTAGAGCCCCAGAGACTTCTGCACGATCTGCTTGGCGATCTTGTAGAACTGCTCTCGGTCGTCCCGCCACATTTTGGAAGCATCCACGTTAGCTCCACTTTCGTCATTGGGCTCTGGAAGAACAGACAGACACGGCCCACTTGAAGAGGCTGTTAGAGTAAGGTCTGAACTGGCAAGACCCTCATATCATTCAAAAAGACCGACAGATCTTCCCAAAGATGTGTTCCCGAAATAAATAAGAGATGCCGATAACGGAAATGCTGGGGGAGGAAGGCAGTTCTTTGAGAAACACTCAAGAGCCTGAGAGCAGCGTGAGCTCAGCGCAACGATGCATCTTGGGGCAAGATCCACTCCCATGACTCCTACCTCCTGTGTGTCTAAATGTGCCTGCGGAAGTCACTTATCTCACTCTGGGCGCACGGGGACAACCTGCGCGCGACCTGTGGCGCACCCCAGAGAGCACGCCAGACGGCCCGCCTGCCCGCTTATTCCCCCAGGGTACCCTGTGCGGGCCACTCCTCGCTCAGTGCCCTTCTCAGTCCAGCTGCCCCCCACCCCCGGCTCCTACAGGAGGGCACGGCCAGGCAGGCGCGGCCGCTCACGGATGCTAGGCCCATGCGGACACCTGACCCCAGGGTAGCTAGTCCCTGAGCTGGCCATACAGGGCCAGCCAGTAGTGGCTCCAGGATAGAATCAGGAGACACACAAAGGGGCAGTCAGGGCCTGCGGGAAGGGGACAGGAGAATGGTCAGTTACAGAGGCGCAGACAGTGACTGCGGTGCAGGTGGTCAGAACCAATGAGCGACTAGATCAGAACAGAGAAGGCTGCCTAGAGGTCAAAGGGCAGTAAGCACAGCCCTGAGCCCAGCCCTGGGCCGCTCCCTCCCGCTTCAGCCTTCCTTCCCTAAGCTGCATCCATCCAACCTCCTTCTGTTTATTCAACACAAACCTGTCCTCAGCGGGACCTCCGTGCAAGGTCCTGTTCTGGGCCCTGGCCGTGCAGCAAACCCCGTGATCTGGGCCCTCAGAGAGGCACCACTCAGTGGACCCACAGGCAGTCCATCAGCGCCAACAAATGCCTCATTTCAAATGAAGCACTACAAAGGGGAGAGCGGGACAGCAGGAGGCAGAGCGACAGGGTGCGCCGGCCCCCTGGAGAATGTGGCACTAACGGGACTCCTGACTAGGCCAGACTGCAGGCAACAGCCCCGCGTGGACAGGGCCTCTGACCGAGGGAACCCCAGGGCCCCAGCCGCAGGCAGAGGCCGGGGAGCCCAGACTGAGCATGATGGCAGCGCTGGAGAAGCAGCTCAGGGCAGGGGACCGGTATTTGGAGAGGAGTGTGTAAAGACGACGTTAAAACCTTAAAAGAAAGAATCTACAGCTGACGCTTGAAGAGAGTCAAATCCTGCCTCCCCGCATCCTCAGACACCTCTCTCCTGACCCTGTCTGCTCAGCGTATGTGTGGAGAGTGTGTCCAGCCTAAACTACACACGCACTGAACCTGAGCCTTCACTGCGCCCCAGGCAGTCAGCTGAGCACGTCCACGGCCCAACCTAGTGGCCGCTCAGGCGGCCTGCAGCCGGGGCTCCCCGCGCCGGGCCGTCTGCAGTGCTGTCAGCTTTCTCCTTGAAAAAGGGGTCTAGAAAATCAGGAGGAGATGGAGTGATCAAGTGACAAGCCTCCGTCTCCTCCTGATCTTCTAGACCCCTCCACCCACGCTCCTCTGAGAACTGCTCTCCTTCCACCTGCCCTTTTGCTGCGATCCCCTTGGTCCTCCCCATCACCCACTGTGTTATCCACAGGTGACCCCCACGCCCTCACTTCCACGACCCGCCCTTGGCTGAGTGGCTCCCCAGCAGGCCCTGGAGGGTGGATACTCACACCCCAAACTGTTCCCTTACCCAAATCCCGCTCCCTCTGGATTTGCGTCCCCAAAGACAGCACCCCTTTGCCCAGGCACTTGGGCCACCCACCCTCACCAGCAGCCTGTGTCTCCCACACCCTCCCCCTAGGCCCCAGGACATCCTGCCCTGCTGTCACACCTGCCCAACGAGGCCTCGTCTCTCCTCCAAGTCGACCTGCAGCCACAAGGAGGATCTCCCTAAGGCTCCGTGAGCTCGACCTCATGCCATGGGAGAGGGGCCCCGAGAGAGCGCACTTCTGCCGGGCTCCCTGCCCCGGCCGGGCTCCAGCCATACGAGGTCCTGGCAGTGCCCCTACCGGAGTCAGCGGCCTTTCCCTCTCCCTTACCTCGTAACTCCTACGTATCCTAAACTCACCCCAGACAGTCCCAGCTTGGGACCTAACCTGAGAGCCCCATGGGCATCGTGACTGCAGGATTTACCAGAGTGGCCTATAACAGTTGGGAAATTTGGAACATTTCCTCAGAAAGCAGGGCCTTACAGCGGGGGTCTACATGCCATACTGGGCTTTATCCGCCGCTACACCATGTTTACAGTACAGCAGGTTCCTGATAAATGGCTACGTAATAAAGGAGATGCCCACGGGTCCCAGCACGGCTACTTCTGATCTACAACATGACATACATACAGTTCTGGTCTACAACACAATACATACAACATGAGACCATCTTTAAAATTCAAAATTATGGAAAGCATGGTTACGCTTGGAACAGGAAATACAAATAACATGACATGAAAAAGGATCACAAATAGTAAAAGTGAATTACGAAGACCAGGACGAAATGTGGGAGGAGGCACAGCCACCAAGCTGCCTGGCCTCCTCCTACAAGCAGTGGCAAGCCAGCCGAGCCGAGGCCTTTACTCACCTGCCAGCATGCTCACCACCGACAGGAGGATCTTCTCCACGCTCTGCACGGGGCTCCACCTCTCAGCGCTGCTCTCGTAGCCCATGGGGTCATCGCCCGGAGCATGGAGGATGGAGATGCAGACTCTGCCATCAGGGTAGACTGCAGGGGCCAGAACACACCAGGTGAGCGATGACCTGGCCAAAGACCCAGCAGGCGGTCAGGACCCACGGAGGGAGGGAGCAGGAGGTGCGGACACAGGCAGCCAGCCGTCTGCACAGCCGGGGCCCTGCCTGAGGCCTGCATGTCGGGCTCCCATTCCCTCAGTCATGGGGAGCCTGTGCAGGCCCCTCAGGGCACCGCTCACCCCGATGGGGCTCTGGGCTGGTCTGTCCAGTCTAGTCATCACGGGACAAACGTACCTTCGTGTGGGTTTCTTAAAAATATTATATCCTTGCCCTGGCTGGTGTGGCTCAGTGGATTCAGCACTGGTCTGTGAACCAAAGGGTCGCCAGTTTGATTCCCAGTCAGGGCATGTGCCTGGTTGCGGGCCAGGCCTCCAGTAGGGGGCGCACAAGAGGCAACCACACATTGATGCTTCCCTCTCTTTCTCCCTCCCTTTCCCTCTCTCTAAAAATAAGTAAAAAAGAATTTTTTAAAAATATTATATCCAAAGGGAATAAATGAAAGGTTAGCTGGCAGGCACATATTTCACCAAAATATTCCATATAATTAGGATTATTCACAATACTTTTCAGAGTGAGTTTCTTAGATATTCCTAATTCTACCATTAAATCCCTGAAAAATGTATGTTCACATGGCTAGGACAAAAGCAACTGGAATTATGTAAATATCCAAAACAGGCTCCGGCATTTCTCTTTGTAACTTACTGTAATATAAAAATGATCATCTGTATTCTCTGGAGATCAATTGTGTCTAAATCTAATCCATCTCCCAAGAAATAGCATCATTAACAAGACACCCAAGGCCTGATGAGAGGACAATAAACTTTCAGCTCACAGTATGTAATCAGTCCTGTTAAGAAAGTTAAAACCATCTGGTTTTTTTTCTCTTATTCATACTTGGAGAGATTTTCAGTGGGTTCAGCATATGCTCAGATACCTAGGAATCCATTTGGATAGACTCAATTGTGAAATTACAAGACTATTAAGTTTAATTTAAAATAGAAGTGCATCTAATTCACCATCACGAGAATTCAGAATTGAGAGTTCTAAATAGCCTTTCTTTTGCACCTGGCCCCCCACTTTTTCCACTAGCCCTGTTCTAGTGCTTTCCACTCTTTGGCTACCCGAACACCGCACCACCAACTCCCGCTGCAGGACAGGGCTCCAGAAGCTGCACAATGGTTGTGGGCACCAGGACCTCCCGCTATAGGCCCCATCCATAGGACTGGGGCACCCGTGGCGCTTCAAACAGTTCTCTGTGCCATAAAAGCAGAGTAGGTGTCAAGAAGTTTTTAACTTAAGCATCACTTCTTCGAGGTGACGGTACTATGCAGGGACCTGCACTCCCAGAAACAACTGTGTTGCTCGCCACTGTGTCCCTCATCACACCCTCCCTCTCACGGAGGGGGGTCAGTTTCGTCTCCGAAAGCTCCCCTGAGCCTCCACCCCATACCCCTCTCCCCTGGCCCACCACAGCTATGTCCTGGCCAGGCTGCCCATCTGCTCTTGACACCATACCAGAGTGGCCCCTCTAAGGCCACACTGACCTCGCTAGCCCTCATAATCACCCCTCAGCAGCCAGCCACACTCCTCAAAGAAACACCCAACTCTGAACCATCGCCCGAAGGCCTCAACGGGTTTGGCCCCTACTCTCCTGCCCCCTCTCTCCTTCCTCTGCTCAATCCCCGCCCCCTGACAGAGGCCCAGGAGCTCCCACTGCTCGTCCCTTGCAGGCTGCGCCTGGCCACCACCTCCGCGGGGCGCGTTCCCCCTCACTAATGGCCCAGCCTCCTCCTCTAATTATGTGCTCACCACTGTATCCTAGCAACTCAGTAAATGTGTTCAATTACTTTTTTAAAAGTACTTATGGACTGACCAATTTTTATGATTGAGACCTATGTAATAGCTCTTCTCAAAAATAATTTTTATAAAATAAAAATAGCACACATCCACTTACAGTAAGGCCAGATTTAAAAGCTACTTGTGTCCTGGCTGGTATGCCTCAGCGGATTGAGCGCAATGGCCCGCAAACTGAAAGGTCAGCACTTCCATCCCAGCCAGGCACATGCCTGGGTTGCGGGCCAGGTCCCCAGTTGGGGGTGTGCGAGAGGCAACTGACTAATTGACCGATGCATTTCTTGCACATTGATGCATCAGAGGCAGGGCCTCTGCGTGGGGGCAGGGGGTGTAGACAGTATAGAGAGGGGAGGGGGTGTGCACGTGGGCTCGTTTGTAAACCAAGAGGGAAGTCAAAGGCCAAAAAAACTCTCTAAATTCTCTCATGGGTTAAATTAGCCTTTAGCTATTTGATATGTGAAAAAAGTATAGGAAAAGAAACTGGCTTCAAATAAGTAAATATTTCATTGCTACAAAATATTATATCTTACTTCTCCACAAATATTAAAATCATGATTAATGGCAATAATAATCATTTATAAAAAGGAACATTTTAAACATGATCATTGAAAAAAACAACATATTTCTTTATTAATTCTCTTATCTATAATCCCTACCTGTACTAGGAAAAAATAAAAACTATAGTCTTTCAGGAATTCTGATCCCTGCTACTAGACACTTCATCAACTAAAGTAAAACGAATTTATTGAAATGACCTTATTTTTTCCTCTTTTTAAAATACATGTTTTAGGGAAAAAAAAATTACACAAGGAAAACTCATCCTATCACTAAAGGGGAATCATTTTTAACATTCTTGGGCTACATTTTCAGTTAAATTATAACAAACTTACAGATTATAACCTGCTTTTCTCATTCAATTAGCCCAAATATCATCCTCTATCAGTAAATATTTTCTTGATCATTTAAAATACCTTTATAGTACTCTAACATATGAATTAGTACTACCTACCTAACCAGTTCCCTACTGTTGAAGACCTAGGCTGCTTTCAATCCTTCCGCTGTTCAAAATGACGCCGCGACCGGACCAGTGTTGCCCTCTCAGAGCACCCGCCCACGCTGCCTTTCTTCCTACGGCCCCACTGCCGGCAGGATGCCTGGCTCAACGGCATCTAGTTGGAGGGTCACATTTTCTTTCATCCACATTAAACTGTCCTTCAAGACAGAAATTACTAGCTCGATACCACCATAATTAATTGGCTAAAATTCAGAGCATAAAAATATCCTCAGGGGTCTATGTCACTCACTGACACTACCTTTCATGCGGTTATACACTCTCTGGGTCCTTCGTGGGACCTTCACAACTTCCAAAAGCACTTACTGTTGGGATGAAACATCTCACAGGTAAATCTCATCTTTGGGGGACTTAACGGGTAATCGAGCGGGAAACTCAGGATGGCAGGAAAAACACCAAACTCAAAGCAAGTGTCTTCTGGGCCCCTGGAAGATATGAAATACATAGAACTTGAAGGTAGATTTGTCAATGCTTATCACACTTTAGAAATGGGTTCAGGAAATGTTTACTGCTTTGTTGCATGTGAAAGATTATCAAAATACTAATGATGAATTGCTACTTTTTTTTAACAGAAAATAATGTCTCACTGTCCTGTTCCAATCTGGTTGAAATCTTAGGTACAAGCAGGACGACACAGCCACAGGAGGTTTCTGCACTTACAGAGACAACAGGGGGCAGCGGAGCCTCCGCCCTCACAGGAGCAGAGAAAAGAGCTAAGGCCAGCAATGCACGGTCCCAAGGACTTTGCTTTTCTGTGTATGTGGCACAATGACATTTTAGGAGAAAGATATAAATTATGGCACATGTTACAGCAAGATTCTACTGTAGCGAATAAATAAGGGGTTGAGAGTTGTTTTCCAAAGGCTACTTTTTCTTTTCAAATGCGCCTCAAAAGTAATTTCTGGAACCTTCCAGAAGCCGGTGAGGGGCGCACGTGTGGTCCCTGCCGGGTTCCCCGCAGAAGACCAGATGTGCACTCGCGCAGCGGCGCTGCCAGCAAGCCCTGACCTGCAGGCCGAGCTCTGGGCCATGCCCTGCACCTACCCAGTCACCTAAGCACTTCACTGTCGCCGGGCATGTGCATGCCTTGTCCGCCTGGGTTTGCCAACTCCTCACATGGAAAGTGGCAGAAATGACCTAAACCACTTCAAAAGTCCTGCCACATTTTAAAACTCTATCTGCATAAATGAATACTCCCTTGATCCATATACAATACACTGGCCAACAGGAGAGAGGGCGTGAGAGCCACCAGCTCACACCTTAACAGGGCTGAGCTCCTCCACCCCACACAAATGGCATTTACAAAACCTGCATGAGGGTAGTTAACCGATCTCAGCCCATTCTTTCTACATAAACTTTTGCAGAAAACAGAACTGCGGAAGGACGCCAGCGGGGCAGCAGCCACGTCAGGTGAGGTATAGCCCATCAGTGCAGTAACAAACAGAAGGCCCACTCTGTTCCTGTGAACGGAGAGGAAGTCCCTTTAGTCTCTCTCTAAGCCATGGTCCCAACGTATTCATTCTCCGGCACAGGAGCCCATCACCGAGACCAAAGCCTTGGCCAGCGCACGCCTGCTGCCGCTGCCTCTCAAAACATTGGGTTGGCCCAAAAGTTCCTTTGGTTTTTTCCATACAGTGGCTCTAGCATTTAGTTGTCTTTACCTTCATTCAAAGCAATTTTGTTAGAGAGTATTGTGACAGCTGTCGTATCAGCATGCATTTTTTTTAAACTTACCAAAATTGGTGAACCCAATTGGTGAATTTTTGTGCAGCCATATTAATATTGAAGATGGAGGAAAACACAACATTTTTGGTATATTGTGCTTTATTATTTCAAGAAAGATAAAAATGCAACTGAAACACAAAAAAAGATGTGTGCAGTGAATGGAGAGGTGCTGTGACTGATTGAACGTATCAAAAGTGGTTTGCAAAGTTTCATGCTGGAGATTTCTCACTGGTCAATGCTCCAGAGTCAGATAGACCAGTTGAAGTTGATGGCAATCAAATCGAGACATTAATTGAGAACAATCAACGTTATACCATGTGGGAGATAGCCAACATACTAAAAATATCCAAATCAATAAAGTTATTGATGAAAATGAAAAATGTGTCTTTTATTTTAAGGAAAAAAAACCTAAACGGATGTTTTGGCCAATGCAGTAAATATATACAAGACATGGCACGGGAAAGAAATTAAAACATATTTATCCTAAAAGAGCCTATGAACATTTTAAAAATTGTTTGTTAAAAGTACAAGTTTATTTTAAATCTTTATAAAATTATTTTGATTCAGTGAAATTTTAAAAATGTATATAGCTCTGCAAATAGTAGAAACAATACTTATCTCCACAATTAAAGGGAATTGACAAACATTTCAAAACAAACTAAACAGAGCTTTACTTTGATTAGGTGCGAACACTGAGGGCTTTGGATGCCGCCACCGCCGCAGCAGAACCAGGACACAGCCACCAGCCTTGGAGGCCGGGCCGCAGTGAAACGGTCAAAATGGGAACAAGGCAAGAAGTGTTCGGTAGAGGTAAACATTTTCAATTTAAGAGACAAATCTTGGTTCTAAAACCTGTGTCCTTGCTACTTTGGGAGAAGCCACAGTGAATAGCTACTTTGTTTTGAAAGGTGTCACTGCATGACAGCGCCCAGAGCCTTGGCCTGAAACCAGGACAGGAAAGCCACATGAAGAGGCGGGAACGGAGTGGGGGCGGGGGGCTCCTGAAAGAGAGGTGGCCCAGCTGCGCTGCAGGGAAGGGTGTCCAGCCTGGGACAGGGCTGCCGGCCGTCACCATGGGGCAGCTCGAGCCCTGAGGTGCTCTTCCTGATCGCTGCCCTGGAAGCCTTCTTTCTGCACAGGGTCGGCATGGACCACACACGAGAGATTTCCAATCAGCCCACGCTTCTCTTCCAGCAGAAGAGCTGAGAGCGGATAGGAAGTGCCTTTCCATCCTGACCCCCCATGTCCTTCTGATGAAAGGCTCCAGGAAGTGCTGCTTTCACTTAAGCAAAGCTGGGATAAACGTACTTGGTTGAGGGCCTAAATCAGTTCAGGCCCTGAGTTAGGAGTAGAACGGTTCAAACTAACTCACAGGCTGGGCAAACAGAGATGCTATCTTTAAAAGCAACAGTGTTACTATGTCAGGAATGTGTGCCAGTGCTTCAATCTTTCTGGCACCTCTGATTTAGTAGAGAAAAAAATGTCTGGGTAATGTTTTTGGAATGAGCCAAATGGTACTTGCTCAATACTTTGATAACAGTTCTTTGTTTCTCATAACAGTGCTTTCTTTAAAATTTAAAAAAAAAAAATCCACTGGGTCGTCCGCAGCCTCATAAACATGATCAAACATTTCCTAAACTGCTCCCACATCTTAAATATCAAAGTGCTTTTCAAATGCTCTGGTTCGCTACTGGTTGAAAACCAGGGTCTCTTTCTCCCCCAGGAGCCTGGTGCCGGGGACGGGCCTGCAGCTGGGCCCATGTGGGCAGCGGCGTGCCAGCTGACTGATGGAAAACGCTAGCGAGTAAATTCCTGAACTGAGAGAGGGAGACATAATTAGTATTATTTTTGGACAAGTCTTAGTGCCATACTCCAAGTAATAACGAAGTGATAGGCTCACTTTTCCTTCACTAAACGCCTCATCTCAAAATCTTCAGGGGAAAAAAATGTAGAAGAAAAACAAAGGCAACAAAACATTTATCTGAGGCAAACATACACTCTTCAAAGCTGAAAATTATTTTCCATATTATTGATTAAAATAGTGGGCTGAATTATTTCAGAGCTCTGAGATTGCTTATTTGTTGAGAGAGGTATTAAAGCAAAATACCCACACTCTACTCTCTAAAGGAAATTGTTCCAAATCGCTCCCTCTGATGACTGGCTCAGGTGAGTCGGAGGCTAAGGAGCAAATGCTGAGAGCAACGCCGAGGTCTAACCCCCACCAGTGTTCCCCGTGCCCGCTCTGTGCGAGGGACAGCTGCCCGCTGCGACGGCCCAGAGCTCCAGCACCCCGATTCCCTGCCACCCATGACAACGGATCACCTCGCAGAGCGGCACACCCGCTGGGAGCCCCTTGCCCTCAGGCGTGTCCCGGCCCCACGGCCCACACGACTCTCCAGCTGCAGCAGGTGGTGAAGAGGCTGCCTTTGCTGTTCCCTTTTTCAGGTTTGTCACAGCACGTGACCAAAATGTCTCATCCAGGTGACAAGGGCTTAAATAATAGTGATTGTAAACCCATTCATTAGTACTTAAACTTGATCTGGATTGCTAGGGGACAGTTATGCTCCAAACACATAACCACCTGGGGCACAACAAAGAAAGGCACACTGCTTCGTAAATACTCTCCACTTCCAGAAGGGTCCCCAGTGGAGCCTGGCAGGCCATGAGGGGTGCCAGCGTCAGGGCACCGGCAACACATTTATTCAAGGAAAAGCAGGTCGAATCCACAGTGAGGTCCCACTTCACACCCAGCAGGACGGCTGGAACCAGACAACACCAGGTGGCGAGAGGAAGTAGAGGTGGAAACCCACACATACTGCTGGTGGAAATGTGAAACGGGAAGCGAGCTACAGCGGGAAACAGCTGGTTTCTTCCAACAGTAAACAGATTGACTCTATCCTCCAGCAACTCCACTCCCACATATCCAGCCCAGAGAAATGGAAATGCCCGTCCACACAGACAGTTCACAGCAGCACTACAGTCCAAACATGGCGACACCCAAGTGTCCGTCAGCTGGCAAGTGGATGTGCCAGAAGTGGCCTATCACACCGCGGAACACGACTCGACAACGAAAAGGGAGGAATCACTGACACTCTGCAACAGAGAGGAGTTCCATCTGTGCAGCACACCGAGTACCAGCAGTCGGACACAAAGGCTAGACATTCCATGGTTCCATTTACAGGAAGAGTCCAGAAAAGGCAGGTGTATTAAGTTAGGAAGCAGAACAGAGCTCTCTGCAGCTGAGGTGGGAATGGGGCCTGATTACAAAGGGGCATGAGGACCTTCTTGGGAGCGTTCTAAAACTGGACTGTCACCATAAAACTCTGGGTATTTACTAAAATCGCTGACCTGTACACTTTATACAGGATAACTTATGGTATGTGCATTACACATGAACAAAGCTGTGAAAACTCGACCCCCGGGGACGGCGCCGCACACCACACCAGGGGCTCTCGGCCTCAGCGCTGCTGTGCCTGGGCCCAGACGTGCGCACCGCAAGGTGCCGAGCAGTGTCCCATAGATGCCAGTAGTGGAGCTCCCCCTACTCCCCAGTTCTGATAACCAAAGATGTCTCTAGACATTGCTGAGTATCCCATGGTGGGGAAAAAATCAACCCCAGTTGACAACACTGGTCTAGACCTATTGTTCCATAGTTCGCCTCTTCCACTCTAAACCACTGTGGATGCTTCTCTAGGCCAGTGTGTGATTCTGTCTGAACCGCTTCCAAGCCACGTGGCCTTCCACTGTACGGATGAGCCATAAATTACTCAGAACAATGACGTGGCCGCATTACTCCAGCAGGGCTGCGTAAACGTCCTCATATTGAGACCTATTAGCACTTCTGTTGAAATTTCTGGGGTTGGGACTGTTGGGTCAGAGAACACACCATACAAATTGCAAGCATCTACTTTAATACCTCAGGTTCCTTTTAGCAGGCACAACACCCACAGAGACACTCTGTGACCGTCCTCTGTGAACAAGGAAGCCTGACGTACAGGGTGCTGCTGCGACCATGCCGTCCGCACCTTGTGAAAGCCACGCGCCGTCCCGGGAGAAACGGTAGCCTGGGACTCCTCCCACCCGTGGTCATAACGCAGCTCGGACTCGAACGTGCCACAGTAACATGGGGGTCAAGTCAGCCAAGGGTCCCCAACCACTCGGGAAGGGGAAGTCCTTGTTATTTCACCACAGCTGACAGATCCCCCTGGTCTGGAGACGGGCCAGCAGCTAAGCCACGGACCGGGCAAGGACGCCACCACTGCCAGCTGCTGGGGCCAGCCAGCAAATTCCTGGACTTGCTGGGGCCGTGGGGGGGCAAACTCCAAGACTTCACGCCTCTTCCAGCCACTGAGGGTACACGGCCGTCCTGCGCCGAGAGCTCTCCGTCCTGCGCCGAGAGCTCTGTCCTGCTGAAGGGCTCCGACAGAAGTGCACCCCACCCCCCACAGAAAAGGACCTCAGGCAGCGCCCCATATCACAGCCAGGGGCCAGCGAGGCCACAAAGCCAGACTCTGAAACAAAAAGCCACTAGTTTAAAAGGATGCAGGAGCCCTCTGTTTTGATCCAGGTAAGCGAAGGCCAGGGAGGCAGTGAGTGGCTCAAGACCACAAGGCCACAGCACGGTGGCCACACAGGCTTGCTGGCCCACCTCCCTGGGGCCGACGGGAAGCCCCCGCCCTTCCTACTGTGTCGCAGGCTCCAACACCAACATAGCTCAACAGAGAGTCCTTGGAGTGAGTTAGAGAAAAGGCTGTGGCGATTTCGCCACTCCGTTCCTCCCTGTCCACCAGTGTGCCGTGCTCCCGCCCCAGTCCCTCACTCTTGTCCTCTCAGGGCGGAGATCTGGGGTTGCCCCCGACATGCCTGTATCTGTGAACCAGGGCCCCAATGACAGGCACCCAGCATTTACGTCTGGAACATGTGAAAAGATGTTTTCTTCCCGGCACAGCTAAATGGAGGCCCCAAAGGTAAGCTGCAAACTCTGGAAAATGAGACAAGCATGGCTTTTATAAACACTAGGGTATGGAAGAAACTCTGGACATGGTCAAAGACTGAAAAGAAAGAAAAGAAAACCTATCACTAAGTGGGGAAACTCAGCCAGCTGTCTGCCAAGACAAGAGGGTGAGCCGAATCAATGAGAGGACAGTTAATTCCTTAATAGATGTTTTCAGCACACTGGTGAACGGCCTCTTGTTTGCGAAAGGATCTGGAACAGGACCAAAACCCACAAACTCACCAGATCCTGAAGCAGGGGAATTCCACACTGAAGCAAAAGCCTTATTCAAACATAAAAGTGCTCTCCCTAAAAAATAGTTCTAATTACTTTTTAAGACAGGTTCTCAAAATATTGATTTAATTTTATACTGTTTATCTAAAATTTGTAATAGTTACCCTAACAGATTTTTAACAATAAATACTATTAAAAAACCAAAGTGAAAGGCTCATGTCCTTTTAAGGGCTTTTAAACAGTCTCTTAGCTGTGCACAGCCAGCACCCTGCAGAGACAAAGGGCCTATCAGGTGCCCAGGGACCGCCACACTCAGAAGGGCTTTCCAAACACCTGCCCCTTAGGCCAGGCGCCGCCTGGTGGTATGTGTGTGTCCATGTTGGCACAAAGGAGCATGTGATACAGTAAATGAGAAAAGCGGGTTACAGATCAAGTTCCATAGGAGATCAATGGGATCTCCTGTTTCTTTAAAAACACAAAAAGCTACACTAACAGGAGTGTGCAGTCCGTGTTTCATTACACGTGGAACATCTCTGACCTGAAACCCTCGGCCCAACCTATCCCTGCTGTAGGGGGCAAAGACTCAGCACCGCACAGACACAAGCAGGCTGCAAAGACATCCTCGTGCCAGAAACACCGAAACACAGAACACCTGTGAGTATCATGGGCCCCAGCAATGAGGCTATTACAATCAGGAAAACGTTAGTTGCTATACTGTCCCTGGATAGTGTTTATGACTTATAATATTTTGCTTATCAAAAACCTCATCTTCACATCAATTTTCACAGATTAATCTCACCTCACAGACAATAGTTAGCAGGAACTTGTTTCTCAGGCTAACAGGTAAATATTAGGAACTGATGTCATACAAGCACTGGGCAAATTCAGAAAGTCTGATGCCATTTAGAAACACATCCTGAAACCAGAGTTCACACTTGCGACAGTAACTTCACGCTCCTGCCAGCAGCTCCCCGCTAGGGCAAGGCATCCAATGGGAAAACTCCCCAGTTACTTGATGACCTCATCTCACTAATGAGAAAACAGAGGCACATTATAAATCTCAACTCCCTAAATGTTACCTGACCACATTTTCTTGAAATATACTAAGTCTAAGAATAGCCAAAAATTGCACTTCTAAGGTAGAAAGAAGACAAGAGCCCGGGTCATAGCACCATAGAAGATTCTAGAATCAGAGGCCATTTGTTGTTTTTGAAACAACATCACTGTACGCGGAACACCATGGAATCCAGTCACAACCTTTCTAGAACGGGGTAGGAGGAACCGCACTGGTCATTGTGGAAGAAATGCGCATGGCGCCTGGTCAGGGATAGTGGAAGGCGAGATAAGGCACAGAGAGGAAGGAGGGGTGGGGCGGGGGAGACCCCCCCAACACCAAAGAGCCTGTCCCGCCTCAAAGCCTCAGCTCTCAGAACTTCTTGAAGCCAAAGCCGCATGCTGTGGGAAGCTAACTCAGCACAGCACAGAACGTTCAACATTTATTATTTTAAAACTCTACAAATATGTAGTGCTTACTAAACTTTGTACAGGTGCTAAGGAAAAACTTTCCTTTCTCCTGGATAAATGTTTGTGTTATTTTCAGCCTCTAGAGTAGCAGAACAGAGAAAAGCTAAATTTCAGAGACACACTTAACCTTTTTTTCTAATCCACACGTCTGAGCATAGCCGCACTGTCTAATGATGTGCAGGTCTAATTTCTGGTAAAGTCTTAAGACTACCAACATGTATGATTTACTTACATGATCAATGCCTCCCATTCAAAAAAATTCTCTTCATTCATGGGGCCTGCAGGAAAAGAAAAATATCCGCATTGTCACTTTGAAGGTAACTTTCGCTATTAGAAGTAAATTTGAAAAAGATTAACTTTAGTACCTCACCTGCCACAATTCCTTCCGGAGGATTCAGTGTTAATTCTATAAAATTAAAAAGTAAAACCATTATGAAATAGAATGAATATTATGTTGGCATTTTAACAAAACTGTAAAGGGTATACAAATTATAAAATATGTAGTCTACATAGAGCAGATCAAAACTCTTCATACAAGTGAATTCCTGCTCCAGTTACATTTCTGAGAAAGACTATGTGAACAGTTCTTTATACCAGCAACAGAGCAGAATTTTAGAGTTAGAAACCCCTTCATTTTACAAATGAAGAAACAAACAAAAAGAGTGTTAACTGTCTTTCCAAAATACTCCTGCTGGTTATTTTTCTTTTACTTTTTTTTAAAAAGATTTTATTTATTTATTTATTTTAGAGAGAGGGAAGGGCAGGGGAAAGAGAGAGCAAAACATCAACGTGTGAGAGAAACATCGATCGGCTGCCTCTCACACGCGCCCCAACCAGGGACTGGCCCGAAACCCAGGCATGTGCCCTGACCGGGAATTGAACCAGCAATCTTTCACTTTGCAGGGTGATGCTCAACCAACTGAGCCATGCCAGTCAGGGCTCCTGCTGGCTACTTTGATTGAAGCTCATAAATCAAACCCCGAACGTGCTTTTCCAACGGGAAGGTATCTCCTGTCACTCCGAGATAAACTAGAGCTGAGGCTTCAAAAGCGTGACTCCGAATCAGGTGCATGGCGCACCGTACAGCCCGCCTGTCAGCCTCGGTCACCAGTGCAAACGTTGAGCCCCGCAAATGGGATGCTCCCCACGGTGTCAGACTTCAGCGCTGACGGTAGAAACAGTACAAAACTCGCCGGCGGCAGCAGCATTGCTCTGCAACTTAAGATTAGTAGATGTAGAAAAACTTGAGGCCCAGCTCTGTCACTTAGAAGCTGCCACTAAGAAATGTCATTTCAAATTAAAAGGCATCTTTAAGAGACTAAAAAGGTGAGCCCTAGAGGAAAATGATATTTGCAACAGATACAGACAACAAAGGGCAAATCTCTGAACTTCTAAAGAACACCTTACAAATCAGTAAAAATACAGACACAATCCAAAAGAAGAGTCAATCACAAGAACTGAACAGGCACTTTACACACACGGTCAATAAACCTGCCAAGGCGCCCACCTCATTAACTATAGGGAAATACAAACTAAAGCCACAGTGAGGGAGCACCACCCCCACCAGAACAACCCAGTCACCAAAGGTTAGAGAACAGACAATCGGAAGTGCCCCCTCAGAGGGGGAGCCGCAGAAGCACTCAGCTGGGAGGAGTTACAGATTGGGCCTTTTGAAATGCGGTTGCTGTTACCTACTGTGACCCAGCAGCTCCTCACAGGAGTACAAACACATACGTGAGCACACATGTGCACCAAGGGACATGTCTAAGGATCTTTTTTAACTTGCTGACGTCATCACTCAGAAGAGCTTCAGATTCTCAGTAGCAAACAACAGGCTTCTATGTAGAGCAACTTACACCAAATTAAAATAATCCCCCTATGACTGCACCTCTGAAATAATATGGGGAAACAGCAGGTAAAAAGTCCTGGTATAATTACAGGTCTGATATTTGACATTTTGGCATGCTCCCTAAAGAGACAGAGTAGATGCCGACCGCGGACACCAGCTTAAGTGCATGAGTGTTTGATGACCCTAAATCTCATAAACAAATAACAATTTAAATATTTCACCATAACCCTGAAAATAGTGTTCTAGCTGGTTTAGAAGTTCGCCATGTGTCTCTATTTTGCTATATAATTGTATGTACTGAAAAGGACACAGTTAACAATTCTGATCACAAAAGCATTCAATTCCAGGTGATATTTCTTCTCTTTACATTTGCTTCTTGGTCACAGCTAAAGCTTTGAGAAGCTATACAAAGCCACAGGGCAGTGGTTTAAGTAGCCCCCCCACCTGGCCAATATGACTAGCATCCACTTATCAAATATCAATCAACATATTATCAATTACCAGTATACTTTTTCTCTGCTAGGCACTGTTCTAGACAGTGGAGCTGTAATGGTAAATGATATAGACAAGGTCCCCACCTTAAATGAATTTTCATTCTAGTGAAGAAAGACAGGTAATGACCATGGGAACATAAATAAAACAAGTTTCAGATATTGATGAGTGTAGTGAAGAATGAGACAGGGTAAGTGACAGATATACCGAGATGGCCAAGACAGGCCTTGCTGAGGAAATGATATCGGAGGTGAGTTGTTTTTTTTTTAAAACTGAGATACAAAAGATGTAACAGGATTATTAGTTTCAGGTGTACAATAGAATGAGTTAATATTTGTATATATTGCAAAATGATAAATGAAACAACTCCAGTTAACATCCATCAACACATAGTTACAGAATTTTTTTTTAAGATCTACTCTCTTAGCAACTTTCAAAGACACAGCACAGTGTTATTAACTAAAGTCATTACACGTAATACAGCACATTACACCTGAGAACTTACCTTATAACTGCAGGTCTGTACCTTTTGACGCCCTCTGATCAACTTCATCTGCCCTCCATCCCCCACCTACAGCAATCGCCAATCTGTTCTCTATCTAGCTCAGTTTGGGGTTTTCTTAAGATTCCACATATAAATGAGGTCATACAGTATTTGTCTTTCTCTGATTTATTTCATGTTGGAGCAAATGACAAGATTTCCTTCTGTTTACAGCTCAACAATATTCCGTTGTATACAGACTATGTATTTACAGCAGCATTATTCATAATGGCCCCAAAACAGAAACAACCCAAGTATCTTATCAATAGAAGAGCCCTGGCTGGTATGACTCAGTTGGTTGGAGCAACATCTCATAACCAAATGGTTGCGGGTTCGATTCCTGGTCCTGGCAAGTATGGGAGGCAACCAACTGATGCTTCTCTCTCCCTTCCTCTAAGAGCAATGAAAAAATAAATAAGAAAGAAAAATGAGCCCTGGCTGGTGTGGCTCAGTGGATTGAACACCGGCCTGCAAACCAAAGAGTCGCCAGTTCGATTCCCAGTCAGGACGCATGACTGGGTTGCAGGCTGGGTCCCCAGTGGGGGGCACATGAGAGGAAACCACACACTGATGTTTCTCTCCCTCTCTTTCTCCTCTCCCCGCCCCCATCTAAAAATAAATAAACTCTTTAAAAAAAAAGACACACAGCTACATACACTACTTTGTGCAAAAGTACTCAGACCTAAATACCGTAACACACTGTATGTATATATACACACATATACAATACAGAATATACACATAACATAGAATACATTACTAACTTTACAGATAGATTACATATGTCAATAGGCAGGCGAAGCTGAACTACAGAGATTAAGGATGCATGCTTTTGTGGAAAAGCGAAGCTAAACCAGGAGGAGACTCTCCTGCAAGCAAGAACTGCCTGGGGCGGGGCCCCACCATGGGCTCCAGAGGGCTGGCGGCCTGCTCGCTCCGCCGCTGCCGCTCACTCTGAGAACTCCCGGAGCCGAACGTGTGTCTTTCCTTGTACTTTTCTTTGTTGGCGGTATTACAAGCTAGCAAATAGTTTTAGAAGCTGTTACAGCAACAGTTCCGCCAGGGGAGATGATGCCACAGGCCACAGTGACAACGGTGAAAGGGGTAAAGAATCAAGGGGCTGGCGCTCTTGTCCACAGGCAGAGGTGACAGGGCTTGCTGATGAAGCTGACGAGCTACGTGAGGACAAACAAGAGGGGTCCGCACCACTGAGTGAGTGGTGGTGCCCTTGCTGGGCTGGAACGGGGCAGCTCCCACTTAAACATGAGAAGGCCGGGACAACAGGAAGCGGACAGGCAGACAAGCGGAAGTGAAGGGCAGGCGGCCAAGGATGGCTCCGCGGCTCCACGGCGGAAGGATTTGGAGATGGACAGCGCGGGGTGACTGGCTGATGGGGCTCTCCAGGGCCGTGCTTCTACAGGGTGCCATTTCTAGGCTGCACTGTGACCAGGGGACGCTACTGCCATGTGGTAGGAAGGGACCAGCAACACTTAACATTCTCACATAAACAAGTCCTAAACAAGAAAAAATTATCTCATTCAAAATACTAGTAACACCTGTGGAAAAACCCTGACCCAGGAAACAAGGACAGAAGAGAGCCAAGTCTGTGACTGAGAGGGCGTGCTGGCACCAAGAAGGGGAAGAGGAAGAGACAGCAGAAGTTAGGGGAGGCCAGGGAAGTAACACGAACCACACTCGGTCTCAAATGCCAAGCACATTAAGTACTTCAAGGAGGGAAAAACCAAGTGCAAATGAGGTCAATTACCAGCCGGGCCGGAGACCCTTGGATTTGGCAAGACAGACTCTGTCCCAGCCCCTCTCTGCATCTCTTCGCAGTAGCAGAAGGGGAGAAGTAACCCCAGGACCCAACTCACCAGGCTTTGTACACCTAGTCATCTGAAATGTCATCTGGTTTCTGTCTAAAGTCAAAGCGCCCCTTTGTAAGAACAAAAAATAAACAACAGATTAAGGCAGATGGTTATAAATCGCTAAGAGGAACGGGCGTAGTGGAGACAGAAAGGCGGGCGGGGGACAACGTTGATGGGAGTGGGAGAAGGGTGCCTAAGAGCAACACAGGGAAATAATTACACCAATCATTTTAATGGACTCTTACACCAAATGGAGCTGGCTTTCTTCTTCATTTGCGGAGTTCCCCCTTGGAACTTCCCTCTGTGCCACCCTCCATTTAGGAAGAGGCAACGGGTTGTCTGAAGTGCGGCTGGAGAACCAGCCCAAGTCCAGCAGCCTCCCCACCGGCATTGTTATTCCACAGCGGCATCTACTGGTGGCAACAGAACTGCAGCAACACAATTCGCCAATGGAGGAATGCTCTGGACTACACACACAACCAGTTTCCTATTTACAGATTAAACACCTCACGAAGAGAAACAAAATCTTAACAATATGAGAGGAATTTGTAAATACCATGCCACTGATTCCTTGACAATGTTAAGTCGTTAAAAGCCTTTCTTAAAAGTGCCTTAAAAAATAGCTGCCACACAAAGTGAAATATAAATTTAACCTC